TTTTTCTTAATTACGCGATAATAATTACGGATTTTGTAAAATGGTATATAACTTTTCTTCTCAGTTTGACCCAATCTACTATAATCTTTGGAGTCGTCCAAATCGAATCCGACAACCTGTAGAGAAAATGAAGGTAGAGGGGAGCGAATAGTGTTCTCTACTCTGATTGGTCTGCCATTTTTATTTTTATAGACTGGCTGCTACACGGTGTTTTTAGTAAGTTTCAGAACGTGCATTTAGATTCAGGATTACAATCTCAAAATCCTCTGTTGCGAGAGATGTTTAATTTACTTGATGGCCGATTCCAAAAGGATTTTAAGCGTTTTCGATCAAAGTATTTCTCAAATAAATTTTCCCCAGAGAAAATATTTTTGAATCGAAACCATGTTCCAACTGTCAGTTTTTAAAATATTTAAGTTTTGGAACTTAATTTTTTTGTTAAATTGCTACGTTTAACGTTCTGTATACTTTTACCATCTTGGAGAGAACAGACAAGTTCACGTATTTAATATAACACTTAATACAAATAACTTTTAATGCAGAATTTAGTATAAAAAATAAAATTCCAAAATTTTTAATTGTTTTCGAAAATTAATGATTGGGACGGAATTTTGACCCCTTTGACGTCGATTCGACGTTAGTGTTCCGACTGTGTTCTATAGTTACACATAATTGTGTATAATTGTGTAAAGTTATGTATAATTATAAATGCGCATTTTTTTCCTGTAAAAGGTTTTAATATAAAAGAATGTATAAATCTATAAAATTATACAAACCTGTGTAAAATTGTATTGTATTATTTAGAAATATACACTGCTAAAATGTGTATGTACATATTTGACGTATATGTATAATTATATAATTTTATATGTTTCTTTATGTTTAGGCATGAAAATTTTTTTACCAGACTCATGGTACCCTTTATTTAAGTGAAAAATTTTTGTTTATCAATAAAATTATAGGCAATCAAGCTAATTCATGAATATTTAAGTATTCCTATTTACCAGTGCACCAAGAAATAATTGATCTATATCAAGTCGGCATCTATTCAATCGACGCATTTGATGTCTGTTCGACATCAATTTGTCATCTTTTCAATCAGTATTTCCCATTGAGCGGAGGGAGGAAGAATAGATTATAATTATAATAAATAATTGCAAAGTAGGCCCCACAATTTTACAACTATGTCACTGCTGGTTCCCTACGACGAGAACCGTGTTGCCTATGGTTTCCAAATGATCTTTGTCTGAAAAGCAATAATTTTGGCCTCTAAATACATAAAGGCTCTAACATATTCTAGGAGATTGATTAAAGTAGTTGATATTTTTATAAAAATATTTTTGTAAAGAAGATACTTTTGCAGGAAAGATATTTTTGTAGAGAAGATACGTTTGCAGAAGAGATAGAGTAACATTGGAGCTTATACTTGGCGCATTTTTACCTTTTTTTAAAAAGGTAAGTTTTTTGGATGATATCACACCTTTTGTAGTATTAAATACCTCATACTGTTTATCAAAACGATTGCACTACGTTATAATATACCATAACACCCTGTAATATACATAGATAAATTTTTTGTGTCGGACAAGAGCTGCGTTCGGCATTGCAAATCTAGGACGTCGGAGCGCTCGCTTGAGTGAACGAAAGAAGGAAGAGGAAGAGCACTTCGACACTTAAGATTAGCTATGCTGAATTTTATATTGCTGCAACGTTAAAACAATCTCGAACAAATTATTTTCTGGCACTCAAATAGATACTTAAAAAATGTATAATTATGAAATGTACACAAATGTATATAATATTTTTGCAACGGTCAGAAATTGTCTGAGCTAAGATTGGATTATTTAGTGGTATAATTCAATTTCAGCACTTCCAACATTTGTGAAAATATTCTGCTAAACGCGACCAATGTTAACTCAATATAATTTAACAATGTTTTCTGAATGTTGAATTGTAACGTTTACAAGATACATTACAATTCAGCGGACATCAGACCTTTTTACAATATCTTTTCAACGTTGAATCTACATTTCGTAACATTGATGCAATATTGCAATGTTGTAATGGAACGTTTCTGAGATGTTGATTCGACATTTGAGTGCTGTACGGGTGGTACATATGTACAGCCTGAAACTCAGTGATTTGTATAGATGAGAAAAATTATGATAAAACTGCGGGTCCAGGCATTAATGAATGAGACTGTACGGCATAAAAGTAAGGTAGATACTGACACAAAACGGCCGCATTACCGCGCAATTACAGCCGATCGAAAACGCGATAAGGGAAACACATGTAAGGTTCACGAGTCGGCGACAAATACCTTTGCCGGCAAAGAAAGCAAATCCTATTAATCAGGGGGACCGCGTATCTTATCGGGTCATCAGTTGTTAACATACGAAGGCCGATGAGGGGAGGAGAGGAAGGGTGTCCCGTCATTACCGCGGAATGCAAACACCATTTTTTTTATGATTTCACGTATGTATGTACAAACCTCCTTAATCGCCCACGCGCTCGGAGAACATTTACGCAACTATATGACGTTCGCGCCGCAATCAATTGATAACGAACAATGACTTCACGTGACTCGAAGTACGGAACAATTACGAAATTTCGAGACCGGGCGCGCGACAAGTGAATTACAGGACTTACCCAGGCTCAATGTCGTTTATCTTTGATCTTAATTCGTACCTTGTCTCTTTCTAACTGTCCCCCTTGGAAAGAGACGAAGGACGGATTGAACTGAAAGATCAAAGTTAAACGACGTCGATACCGGGGTTAAAGGTTCTCTTCTCGCGATATTCAAATTCCACCAGCTGCGCCGACAGAGAGGGATCCACCCGAACCTGAAAATCGGTGAGGATTTGCGGCCGGGCGGTGGGATTGGTGATCCTGTTCTCGATGTCCTTCACGTACATCTGCATGCGGTTCATCCCGTGGCTGAAGTGACCTCGGTAGTCCGCAGTCATCAGATGATGACCGACGACGCGCGCGTCTTCCGGCGTGGTGCCGGCCTTGCGCATGCACTCCTCGATGAACCTGACGACCTCGTCCTTAGGGACGACCTTCTGGTCCTCGCGTCCGACGGACGCCATTCTGGTAGCGGCGGTGCGCGCGCGCGATAGCGAACCGCTCGTTAAAAGTTCCGAGAAACGACTGAGCGTTGCTGCACGAACGAAAGTCAACATCTCGCCCACGGCTCTTTCCGCCACGACCTCGCTTTATCACACACTTCACCTTATCGAGGGCGGCTGGCCGATTTATCAAATCGAACGAAATCCTGTGCCTAATTTGTTTCTCTAGCCGCGATTTCTGTTTACCTAGCGTTATCGCTTATCGATTGCGGCGAGATAGAGAGATACGCAGTTATTTTTAAATTTCTCTGCAGAAGCTCGATTTTACGACGATAAATTGACAAGCTGGTGTTTGGCACTGGCTGTTGATGGCCGAGAGATAAAGCGACTTTTGCTTCTTCCTCGGTGTTCAATGAGATAACTCTCTTCCTTTCTCTCTTCTCCGTGTACGTCGAGCTTTTCCACTCCGTTTGAATTAAGCGCCAAGCATCAGGCGAGTCACGTGCTCGGCGCTGCGTTTGCCACGATTATGTGTCGGAGATTATAGACTCGAGCGAATCGATGCGTTCTCTACTTACAACGATTCCCTTTCGCGCACAGACCGAACTTCGCGGAAGAGACTGCGAGCTACGCCAGCGTTCTCAGGAAGAAGTCGTGCGAATGTAAACTTCTGTATACTCGCGTTGAAATGTAACGTTTGACAGCGTGTCCGTACGTGCTGTGTTCGCTCACGCCATCGGCGTCACCGACGTTGCTTAGTCCGACGTTGGCGAAACTGTAATAACGCCTCTGTTGGCGGGAGCTTTGAATACCGCTGTCATTGTTAAGATAAAACTTATAGGCAACGGAGGTAATTAAATTGTAGTGCACGCTGAAAAAAAAGGAATTTTCGCCACCGTATCATAGTTTGTTAAAAATATTCTGCTGCCACGACTACAAATTTCTAAAGCACTGCAACGGTTGGCTGTCGCACCTAATACAGTAGACACATGAGTAGCACAATGCTTAGCTATCACAACTTTAACAGTAGCTGTCCGTATTTTACAACTGAAATTTAGTTGCCATGTACAGTTTCTAGCCACCCCGAGTCGACATTTTGGTACTATTTTGACACTTTTAAGGATAACTTACACCTACTCAGCTGATCTACGCACCTACATAGACCAGCAATAACCTACTTTGATGACATTATATCGAGGGGGAAACCGACGAGGGCATTGTGGTGTACAGATTTGCGGCATTACCGGGCATTACTAGGGCATTTTTGGGGCATTACGTCTTGCTGAGGCATTATAAAGATAAAATAAGATAAAATAAGATACAATAAGATAAAATAAGATAAAACAAGATAAGTAAGATAAAAGAAGATAATAAGATAAAGTAATGCCCACTGGGCATTAGTGGGCATTGGTGTACAAGATTTTGGTCAGCGGTTTCCCCCTCGCATTATATTTTTTCACTCCTCCCTTGAATCTTTAATTCTAAACTTTAGCTCCTACTTAAAAGGGCCTACTTTAATGCTAAATTGGCAAAAGTAGAAATTTTCGACATTATCAGCTTTAAAGTAGGAGTAAATTTTGTACTTGCAGTTCAACGTCTTTTACTGTCTTAGGTCCTACTGTATAATAGAATTAAAGGTTCAACACAGGACCAAAATTTCGACTCGGCCCGAAATTTTGGTACTATTTTGACACTTTTAAGGATAAGTTACCTACTTAGCTGATCTATACACCTACATACATAGATAAGCAATAACCTACTTTCATGGCATTATATTTTTTCTCCTCCCTTGAATCTTTAATTCTAAAAATTTACTTTAGTTCCTACTCCAAAGGATCTACTTTAATGCTAAACTAACAAAAGTAGAAATTTTCGACACTATCAGCTTTAAAGTAGGAGTAAATTTTGTACTTGCAGTTCGATCTCTTATAGTCCTACTATACAGGGTGCCAGATTCGATATGGACGACCCCAAAGATTATAGTAGATTGGGTTAAACTGAGAAGAAAAGTTATATAAAATTTTACAAAATCGTAATTATTATCGGCCTAATTCAGAAAAACGTCTGAGCCAATAAGGCCGGACTCGGCAGCATGCAAAATGGTGTGTTTGTTGACATCTCTGAAAAATCGATAGC